CTAGGTAACACCTACAAGTACCAGGCAGGGAACAGAATGAACGCTTTGCTGTGGTTCAAACATCTGAGTGCTGCCTGTCAGAGCAATAGGCAACAGGTATGGAGCCGCAGAAACACTTGCGTGCGCCCACACACACACACACACACACACACACACACACACACACACACACACACACACACACACACTGTGCCTTACATTTCATATACCTTTTTTTCCACAGGTGCCAGCCAATCTGATGTCATTCGAGTGACCTGATGCTGAGGAGTGTGACTGAGCAAAGGAGAGAGGGATGAGGACACAGACGAGGAGGATGAGGAGGAGTTGTGACTCAGTAGTGGGAGCTTTCACTGCCATGAGCCCTGACCGCTGATTCTCCGATTCTAGCCCCTGGCCTCACTGCAGCCTCACCTGCCACCACTGCCTTAACCAGTACCCAGAGAGAGAGAGAGAGAGAGAGAGAGAGAGTGTGTGTGTGTGTGTGTGTGTGTGTGTGTGTGTGTGTGTGTGTTGCGTGTGTGTGCTTGCATATGTCAGAGAAAAATGTGTGTGTGTGGTTAAAAGTGGATGTCGGATGTACTGACTACTGAATTAAGGACCTGCACCACTGCGCTCGTCTCCCATTTGCTCTGTGTCTTTTTTTTTTTTTTTTACCTTTCAACACTTCAGTGGATCCATGCGACCTCTCCTTTCCTCTCTCGCAGGCAGACTGTCCTTTGGATGGACAGTAATAACCCTCTCCTTCTTCTTCTTCTTTAAAGGGGTTAACTATTTTTATTTGTGTCCCCCGCAATGCTCGAATGCAAGATTCCCACCTTTTAATCGGCTGGACACACAATCACAACACACACACACACACTCACACTCACATCTGACTTACCCACTGGACTTTGGAGGGTTTGAAGAACACTTTTTTTTTTCTTTTTTTTTTTTTTTACTTACTCACTCTTTCAGTTGTTGGTCTCTTCATTCACTTGAGTTGGCTTGGAGTCACAGGATTATTTACATGACATTCACACACACACACACACACACACACACACACACAAACAGGCCTATTTGATCACATTGTCATAAACGTTAAGGGCTCTGATTCGCAATCAATTCCAGCAGGAACAATTCACACACTTCCTGAATGTGTCTAGTTTTTATTACAGAACTAAGCCAGCCCTATTGTGGATCAGGAGGGGCGGGGGAGTGGGAGGGTGAATGTGTGCTTAAATGATAGGAATCTTGTCTGTGTTCCACATAGGTACGATAATCCCAGAATCTTAAGCTAAGACGTGTTCACGGATGGCTAGACGAGAGTTACTCCTTTTTACAAGCCTGTATTTTTGCGTTCTCCAGTGTTGTGTCCGCTCTCTGTCGGCTGCCGTCAGCTCAGAAAAATGACGCTTGGTTCACCAGACTCACAAACATACTAAACACTAAAGACATGAAACTGTGAAAGAGTCCGAGAGAGAGAGCAGCAAGAACTCATAAAGCAGGATTCGATCTCCTCTCTTCTTGTTGCTTAATATGGTTAGAGCCTCTGGTGTGGAGCAGACATTCAAAGCTACCTGGAGCCATACAGAGTCTATTTTAAATCTTATTTGTTGATATTGTTGTTTTGTATTGTTAGTTGTTTTATTTTTGTCCTTTTTTTGGGGGGGGGGGAGATGGTGCAGTTCACAGTATTACCATGTAGTAGATGATCGCACGTCATTGTAGCTTTGTCTGTTACATTTGAATGTTAGCATTTTTGTGGTTTTTGTTTGTCTCTCTTGTTTTGGAGCAGTTATTTTGAATATATTATGCACATGTGAATTTTATTTTATTTTTTCTATTTATTTTTATTTTATTTTTTATGCCCCTTATTCTGTTAACCAGGACTCAGCTCAATTTTAGGCCCTAACCGTATTACATCTGATTTGAAATAGCACAAGCCCCTAGGTTATAATTAGTGCCAAGTGCTGTAACGTCACCGTTTTTGTCTTCAGATTGAAGAGACGTTAGGAAGCTGCAGCGGAATCAGATGCACTGGCATGTTTAAGAGCGCCACAAATAGACTATTGCTATGTGTTTGTTTTTTTGGCTGGGAGCAAATCGCATCCAAATGAACAAACCTGATCAGGATGAATGAGATGACAATGCTTTTCGCTCAGTTATATTCATTAAATTCTAATCCACCTTCTTAGAACATCTGTTTACATTGTATGTTTACACAATCTTTTGCCTAAAGCCGCAATCACTTTAATGCTCCTACTCTTTAAACCTTAGGAAATGTGTTACAGTGTTTGGAAACTAATGTCCAGGCCATCAATAGGGTATATTAATAAGCTCAGAGTTAGGATGGAGAGGTGAACACATCTGTGCTCGCAGCACCTTCTAATGTGCTTCAGTCAGCCCCTTTCTCCATGCCACTATCCACTCGATAGAGGTGTTAAAACTGTCCTCAACACAATATACAAGTCAGGCGAACAACAGCAAACTGAGATTTAGTGCCCATATAGAGAAGTTCAGTCCTTTTGTATATTAACTAAAGGAGAGATGGTAGCAGATGAGCCTGTGGAAGAATGAATGAGGATGCCAAAGACGGGCGTATGTAATTCTGCAGTTACTGTAAGTGTGTGAGTGCATTTGTTAGCCTGTGCGTACTTCTCTACTTTTTTCTTTTTTAAAAACATAGTAATTCGAGCCAGTCCCTCGAGGCTGCCATCACTGCTGGGGACAAAGAGGATCTGTGAATGAAATAAGTGAACTGGTGAGGCAGAGTTTGGGGGGATATAGAGACCCTTTTACCTGTGTCTATCGACATATGGTGGTCGGTCTTCACATAAATATTCAGACGAGCTGAATCTGCCGTCACTTCAAATATACCGACAAGTTGCTGCAGTTACACAAGAATTGATGCTGTCTCAAAAACTCAGAAGAAAAGGCTGTAAACAGAAGTAGCTGAGATGTAAATAACACAAAGCAGACAGACAGCATCCCCATCACATTTCTCTTCTATCTATTTATCTGATGTTAATTGAGAACCAAGAAAGTCAAATTAACCATTTGGGGGGATTCCTGAGTTACAGTTTTATATCTAAGTAGTCTGGGGGGGTTGTTTAAATCAATTTGGGTTTAACAATTGTTCCCAGATCATGCTGAGTTTTTCCACACTGTAATCTGAGTTTACAAGATTTTCATTTTTATCGTTTCTGTACAGTGTATGGTCAATACCGGAAACACATGTTTCAGTTGGGGATGTATTGTGGGATTTTGTCGACTCGTTTCTTGAATTTCAAGGCCAATAACTAGTAACATAATGACCCCATGAACATCTCTTTTGGGATGAGAGTGGAAAATTCAAATGGCAGGCGCTCCTCATTTAAGATGATTTTTGGTTATTACAAAGAAACTTGATGCCATGCTTGAAAATTCCCCCTTCCTGTGGTGAGAGATCATGTTGTTTCCTTTAAATTGCTCATACTGTCTACAAATGCACACTTTTACCCTGTATCAACTGTTTTGAGTGGATCTTTCTTTTGAATTAATTCTTTTTAGTGGTCATGACAGTCGAGACGAAGGATTTCTACGAGAAAAAGTGTTTTCGGTGTGGTTACACAATGTGTTTGTCCTCCGATTCAGTGGTGAAGTAGAATCAATGTGAATCTGTGCCGCCTGTGCGCTGGACAGGCATCACTCACTGTTTACCAAGGACATCAACAAGCGTCGTTCAAGTTCGAGGAGGTGACGACGGTGATGTATAAATGACCTTTGACCTTCACCTTTTACCTGGCTCTGTGTGTGTCTAACTTTGTCTGCCCGTGTCATGACTGTGGCGAGCGCGGTGACCTCACTGCTGAGTGATGCGCTGATTGGTGTGAAATATGAGAACAAATAAACACTCTGCCCTTTTTTACTCCACAAATCAGTTTCATACTCATTGTTCTGGGGAAGATTGTGTGCGATTGTGAATGTGGGATATGGAGGGGCTAGGAATGAGTGGACGGATGAGTGCTTGTGAGTGTATATTGAACCACGGTTGCATTACATGGCTCAATACTACTCGAAGACTGATAATCAGTTCCAGCATTTTTCAAGCCGCTTTTTAAGTTGTTGCAGAGCACTAGGGATGACAGAGAGCTACTGTAACTCTTGATGAAAGTTGCCAGAGGGGATTTCTCCTGCAGAGTCAGCTTACTTTCTTTATTAGTATTGCTCCTTTTCCCAAAATATTATCCAAAAATGTAGATTCTTGAAATTGGCCAACATTAAGTCCAGTTACAGTAATTGTGTCGGCTTGTTTTTTTTCAGTCAGTAATTTATCATAATGAAGCATTACTTCACTAGGCTGCAGTTACAGTCACATCCATCACAGTACAGATGTTTTTTTACTACTAACGAAATGAACAGCTGTGGGTTCATTTAGATTGATTGGCCAGCCAGCAAGTGAAGGAAACATTACTTTTGTAATTTCACATTTTTGCCACATAAACTAGATTTATTTAGTAAACATAATATGTAACAATGTTTTGTTTTTTCCTGTTGAGTACAATTTTTAAGGGGCTACTGGTGTTTTGTTTTTTTACTCATTTGTATTTTAAACAAAAACTCATATTAGTTAAATATCAGATTAGACAAAGGTGTTGCAAGATAAATCTGTGGGGTTGTGGGATTTGAACAGGAGAAGAAAGCAGAAAATAACTGCTACTTTTCTCGTGAATTACAGAATAAAATACATTGTTAGGCTTTTACTAGGCCTACTTTTTTGTAATAAGAGAAAGAAGACTGAAAAGGAATAGTCTGCCTTTGACTGGTCATAATATGTTGACATGCATATAGATAGTTAGACAGAGCTTTGTTTTAAGGGGTCGCAAGTTAAAAAATAAAAAAAGGGAACCACAGTGGTAAAGTACGTATTTTAGTTATTTTTTCTATCTTGTTACGCGTCCTTGTAAGTACGTTCTCATAGTGCGCCACTGCCACCTGGTGGCTATCCGGAGCACTTGCAGGAGGAGGAAGTGTTTCGGAAGTGGACACGGAAGGCCAGAGAAGGACTCGAAGGAAAAGGGCGGAGGAGAGGGAGCTACCGGGGGGATTGAGAAAATCATGAACCATCGTGATTTTTTGCATCAGGACAATTTAATATATGTAACTCTAATATCGCATGACTTTAAAGACACTTGGAAGCTACTTCGTCTGTGGTGAACGGCATATGGCCACACGGTAAGTCCGCTTGTAGCCAGTAAAAACAACAGACTAGTGTATACGTAGCGTTAGTGTAGCTAGCTGGGTGCTTTAACGTTAGCTAACCTACACAGTAAGGTGTACAGCGGTTTGATAGGCAGCTAACTAACCCTGCCGTGAGAGATGTGACCATGTTGCAGATATGGCGAAACGATAAAACAAACAACGCAGGAATAACAGTCGTAGAAGGCGTCTAGCTAGGTAGAGCCATCATTGAGCGGGTTTATAGGTGTGTTTATGCGGTCGGTGCTGGACAGCCGTTTTCTCACTGGTGTTTTGGGAAAAAAGAAAAAAACGGCAGCAGCATCGTGAAAGACCGATTGTGTGGAAGAAGCGACTGCATGCGTGGCCAGACCTGTGTGGACTGAGCTGTGTGGAAAAACCAGCTGAAACGTTGTCTAGAGTGTGTTAGCCTGCTGCTGACTAGCTTGTCGTCGTTATGTCACAGGTTTGATAACGTTACGCTGTGTTCGTTGGCGCTATTAACGGCAGCAGAGTGGCAGTTAATTTGACTGCCTTGACCAAAAGCCGACAACGCGCAAAGATGGCATGTAACGTTAAGGCCCTGCGTTTCAGTTAATTTTGTAAATGTGTCAAGCTTTAGCAGAAAGGTGAATTCAACACGGGACTGTGTAATTAGAGGAGGATCAGGCCATTTCTCTTTTGCAAGGTTAGACCGTCAAGATAGAGTGAGGGCTGTGCTGCTGCCAGGTCCACCACCTCATCTGACCCCCTTCTGCACCACAGCAGGACTAGATGTCCATCACCTCAACATTGGAAACCAGCAGGGTTGATAAAGACAGAGGGGGTGTCATCAGCTACCTGAAACAGGGAAGTTAGAAAGCTGGAAATGTGGCCCAACAACTTTTAACACAGCCCTGCCCTTTGCAGCACACACAGTTAACAGCCAAAGTAAACTTTGCTGTTCATCTTTGCACACAGTACAAGATTTGCAGTGTAGCGTACCTTTAAATGTATGGACATTTGCACAGACCAGAGGACATCAGCATATGTAACTACATCAGGACTGTGTCGTCCTGATGTAGTTACATATGCTGGACCGGCTTCAGCCGTGCTGCAGTACTGGGTCATCGTCTGCCCTGCGGGGGTAACAAGCGAGAGGGGGGTGGCAAATCAATCAGTTTTCTCTCCATATATTATTGACAGTACATGTTCTCATCAGTACATCTCTCACTCTCCGCTCCCACCTCTTTCCTCCCAGCCTTCTCTCATATCTGTTTCTCTCCCTCCAGGTGGAGGCCTGTTTGAGTCAGACCGAAGCTCCAGGAGAAAGGCAGCAAAGCCCCCGTCCTTCAGAAGAGTTAGTCTGACGGGGTCAGGTGGGCGGGAGGGTGACTAGGAGTTGCGGGGGCCATGCATCAAGGGTGAGGGGGACTCACTTCTGGGGGACACACACACACACTAATACAACGTTGGGTGAGGAGGAGAGTGGTCGGGGCCGGTCGGTGTGGAGATGAAGCTCAAACAGCGCATGGTGGTGCTGTGTGCCGTGCTCCTCCTGCTGGGCCTGGCCAAGATTTTCCTGCTGGATGGAGGCGAGGGCTCCGCTGCCAGCAGACGGGACCTCAGAGCGTTTCGCAAGGTCAGGGTGCCAGTCAACTATTTTCATCTTGACCTTTTGTTTATAAGATATATAATAACAGTGCTGTCATGTGGGAGATTAATAAAACGGGATGCAAAACACTCTTAATTGGCTCTGGCTAGTTTAAAATCAAACCCTGCAGTGCGAGTGTATATATCCATATTATTACACACAATGTTTTTATCACCCACCTCTTAACAGATGGAGGCCGGCCTCTCTCTGTCCCGGGGAGCTCGCCTTACCCACACCCTCCAGTCTCCGTGGGAGATAGCCAGCCAGTGGGTGGGCCCGAGAGAGGTGTACCCTGAGGAGACCCCAGAGCTGGCTGCGGTGCTCACCTCCCTCAGTACAGCCAGGATAGAACGGGCCGATGTGGGCTATAAGGGCACTCAGCTCAAAGCCCTGCTGGTGCTGGACGGGGGTCAGAAAGTGGTCTTCAAACCCAAGAGGTCAGACCTGTTAATAATACTTGGATTACACACCTGTTATTTATGCTTAAGAGTGATTCAGCATTCTTATTATTGTCCTCTCCACCCGTCCTCAGATATAACCGAGACTACGTGGTGGAAGGCGAGCCATACGCAGGCTACGACAGACACAATGCAGAGGTGGCTGCTTTTCACCTGGACAGGTGTGTGAGCAGCATTGTTGGAGTGTCTGACATTTTGTCCTCACTGATCTGTAAATGGGGCAGGACCCCTGCGTAATAATGTACTGGTATCATGTCCTCTCTGCAGGATCCTGGGGTTCAGGAGAGCACCTCTAGTTGTAGGGCGATACGTCAACCTGCGAACAGAGATTAAGCCTGTGGCCACAGACCAGCTGCTGAGCACCTTCCTAATGCAGGGCAAGTATCTGTCCACCCTACTGTCTCCTCTCACACTTAATCATCACCTTTCTACTAAGACATGAGTGTTTTCAGACATCCTACAGTGGGTGTGTGGGGTGATTGTATGAATGATTTCCTTTTCTGTTGACTAAACGGTCCACTTTCTTTCTAATTCTGATACCAGTTTTTACTCTCTCTCCTTCACTCTCACTTACCATTCTCAGTCAGTCAGCTCACTAGACCAGAACTAGTCCTGTTTAGTGAGGGCGTGGCACCACACAGTTGAAACAGTATAATCGTGTCAAGTCATGGTTAGGCCTTTGACAAACATGTTTGTCAGATCACAAAAGAAAACAGTATTAAAAGCTCAGAGAGATTCTAATGCTGTAAGGTAAATGAAAATGTACTGCAAACTAATGGTAAAACAATGTCCCTGCAATAAGCACTTCCTTTGTTAAAGGGGAATTCCAGCAGTTTTGTACATAAAGGTCAGTTTACCAGTCCTGGTGAGTGCTGCTCAAACCCGTATGTGGCTGTGAATGAGCTTGCTGAAGTGTGAGAAAATAACCGTGATTATGTCATCAAGGGTTATTTTCTCGGCGTGGCCTTGGAAGACTACAAGTTTATTACAGAAAGAAGCATTACAAAGTGGGTGCATGGGGTTTGAAAGACATGGGCATTCACTAGGAGGTTTTAATGAAAAAATGTAGGATTCAGGATTTTTTTAGAGCTTAAACTATGCTAGATCTACGGTTTTGGCTTCTGCTGCTCTAAGTCTGACCATTCGTTTATCTGTCACTTGTGGGTCCTGATAACTTTATGGGATACTAAAGCACCGGAGTATTCTTTTAAAGACTGTGTCTCAGAGATATTGATTCAATTCTGTCATCATTTTTGAGTCGTCAAGTGTTCAATTAAATTCAGTTTTATTTATATAGCGCCAAATCTCAACAACAGATATCTCACAGCGCTTTTCCTAAAAGAGCAGGTCTAGACCATACTCTATGATGTTGTCAAACTCTCAGAGCAGACAATATGACAATATACATTTGCTTACAATCTGATTCTCCCTTAAATTTCTCTAGTTCCATTTGGCCATTATTTTGCAAAGTAACAGGAGCAGGACTGCTTCAGTGCAGTACTGGATATTTTACAGGTTTGCGTCAATGAGATGATGTACCTTTTGTTGGTCAGGTATTGATATTTACCGTAAACAGTTTCTCACTTGATTGTCCAGAAAATGTACTATATCATCAGGGGTTTTCCTGACATGAGGCAGAAGTGGTACCATCCTTAGGGCCCTATGATTTCCAGTTGCAGAAAACAGTCATGGAATTAGAGAATAAAAATTTAATCAACTGTAAAACCCGGAATATCGAGGAATCTGTCAAAATGGGGATGCATTTTTAAAAATCTGGGTTTTCCCTGGCATTATAAGCACTAAGCCAAACAAACAGAAAAAAACCCTAAACTTTAGTGTCATTTACGGGTACAGCTTCTGCCGTCTGCTCTCTCTGTTACCGGTTTTTCACCAGGGGCAGGGCTCAGCACACACACACACACACACACACACACACACACACACACACACACACACACACACACCCAGTCACATCAAGGAGAGTCTTCGCACTACCAAGAGCTCATTACTTCAACAAACTCTCAGAACTGCAACCACATCTGCAGATGCAAGACGCCTGCTCGTTGAAGACTTCGAGGCTGTATGGGCAGAGTCAGATATTCTGTGTGGAAAAAATTAAAAAGCTGCGTCCGGTCAAGCTTTGTAAACAAGGAGGAGCATTGCCCACGTTAGAGTAACCTCCGCCAGACCCACTGATACCGTGTGTTCGAGGCTGTCCTGCAGAAGATCAATAGGAAGAAGCAGTCAGTGGTCAAGTAATAACCTGTTTAATAGGACAATTCACAATGCATGTATTGTGAATTGTCCCCTATTAAATAGTATTTTAATGTCCTAGTGTTGCAATACACTTACTGTGAATTGTCCCTTGTTAAATAGTATTATATTTCTATATGCATGATATATCAAATTCATAATACAATTTAAAATTTTTTTTATTCAATTGTTGAAATTGTATTCATCCACCACATGATTACCCACTGTTTCTGATGGCAAAATGTGCTTAAATAATAATAAATAAACCTGAAAACACAGGATTTTGGAGAAATTTAAAACTGATTTCATACGCCCGTACATCCTGATCCCGTGCTCACACGGTTCTAATAATTATATGAAGAAAATGACAATCATCACATTAAAGCATTTTATTTATTTAAAGCAAGTTTCCCTGTTCAATATTAAATTAAAATAAACATAAAAGCCAATGTTTTAATTTACAGTTAACAAACAGTCAAATATAACAGCTTTTGTTTTCATTTATAGTTCACAGGGGCCCTTTTGCACTGTAGTTGATGTTGATGATCTGCAATTTTCAGTTGTGGTTTCAGTAATATTTTCTCTTGTTGAAAATATTTACACAAATATAGTTTTTTTTTTTTTAAGCTTTTAAAAAATGAATTAAAAAAACTATATTAATACCCTATAACTGTATTTTGTTTATTTTACTTACTAATTTAACACATCAAACAGCAGGGAATAGCGGTTTTGTTTTCTTAGTAAATATTTTTGCTGAGTGGCACATTACTTGCGGAAACACTGTCACGTGAAATCAAAATTGATGTGGTAGAACCACAGGTATCCTCCCCTTTTTTTTTTTTTATTCCACGCCGCCTTCATTCATTCGGGTGTGTTATGTTAGCAGCAAATGTATGCTTCTAACACAGAGGTCTGGAAAGCTTACCACACCCTCCCTGATTTTTAATTTTAAAACATGTAGTATTTTCTTCTCAAGCCACATTATACTTCTACTCCACAACATCTCAGAGGGAAATATTGCACTTATTACTTCACTACACTTATCTGACTGCTTTATATGAAGAGTTTATGAAATATGTTTTGTTATTAATGAACATGCCCAACATTTTAGTAGTACAGGTACAAGTACAGCTGAAACGATTACTCTATTACTAATCGGTCGCAGAGACCACATCACCCCCTTCCTTCAGATCCTCCACTGGCTCCCAGTTAAATACAGTCTGGATCCACTTTATACTTCTACTAATCACCTACAAAACCTTAAACAACCTGGCACTTCCCTACCTCTCTGACATCCTCTCGGGGTGACTCAGCCTTTATTTTTGCTCCCTCCCTAGCCACACCTGACAGGCTAACTCCATCCCATCTCCCAACAGGCCCTCAAAATCCAATTTTTCAAGACTGCAATCCCCGGGTTAAAATCCTTTCCCTCTCTCCCCTACTTATTCTTTTCTTTTTCTCTTTTAACTAATTACTTTTAACTTTCCCCCTGTAAAGTGTCTTTGAGTATTTAAAAAAGCGGCACATAATCACATTTATTCTTATTATTACTAATGCATCAGTAATAATAATCTAATGATCGATCAGGTAACAGTAAAGCAGTCACAAGGGACTTTTTTCCTGCATTGAGTGCTTTAATTTTTAATACTTTAGTACATTTTCTTGGTTATACTTACATATTTTTACTTTAGTAAAATCTTCAATGCAGGACTTTTACTTACTAACAGAGTATGTTTCTAGTGTGACATTAATACTTGTCCTGTGGCCCCAGCTGACACTGACTCATGTTACAGCCCTTTAATTAATTGATTATGTAGAATAATGTCAGATTAATCAATAATGAAAACACCTGTTAGTTGCTCCCCTAGTTATTTCATGTCATTGTATGCAGTGAAAATTAACTGGCGAGGTTTCATGAACATTAACATAGTCCTTACTGAAGTGAATGGATTTGGAGCCGCTGGCTTCGTCAGTTGGAACGGTGTGTCCTGGCAAACCGGTTCACTTTGTACTCGGTAGGCGGGTGTGGAGACCTCACACCCCAGTAAATTCAGTGTTTCCCCTCATTTGAACATATAGTAATGGTGTCATGATAAACAGATGGCAGCTGTAGCTATGTCGGTCACTTTTAAACGTAAAGGTCAACATGCCACTGTGGATCTTTGCTGCCCCATGTCACTTCCTCTGTTGTTGGCCCGGTTATGTCACAATTGAGATTGTCACACTGCAAATCACAAAAGTCTAAAAGTACAACCAGCTGTTCAGGCCAGTCAAGCCATCACTTACCGCCAAGCAGCATTCAACATGATTTGACTCATCTCTTCCTTTTGCAATTGTGGTTTACAGCAGGTTGACAGAATAACACCCACTATAACAGTGGCATAGGCAGTTACACAGATGTGTCATTAAGTTCTCAACAGAAGTCTTAAATAAAATGTAAAAAAAACTTCACTCGTAGATGCATCAAGTCATGTGTAGTCTAGTCAAGTTTTGATGAAATATCTGACAAAGTGATTTTTGCCTTCACCACAGTAAAACCACAATGGAGGTGAATCAAATAAAAAATTTTATTTGTTTTCCACAAACTGATTAATGGAGTCTTTATGAGATCTTTACTTAATAGCACCACAAACAGCCTCATAAATTATCATTATCTTGACTCAACATTGCAGGGCTGATGTGTTATATACTATACTATATTTTGAATGTTAAATTATTACAGCTCATAAGGAACTTGAGTGGTGTTTTACATTACATTTATTTAGCTGACGCCATTATCTAAAGTCTAATCTAATAAGTGCATTTCAGCCACGTGGATACAATTCAAAAACTTTGGCTTCCATTAATTATGAAAACAAGATAACTGAGATAGAACGATTATTGTGCCTCATTCTGTATCGCAGTGATGCTCTCTTTTGCGTTATAAACCCAGCGCACCGCTTTCCTTTAAAGCAGTGTTCCCTCTCTCCTCTGTAAAACAAAAAGTTCCGGCTGCAGCCTGTAGCACCTCAAGCTGCGTCCCCACAAGCAGTGTCTGCTTTCAGTGGGATTGGTCCATTCAGCATTTCCTTATAGAGTGAAATGAATAAGCAAGTCTTAACTTGCTCAATTTGTTCTTGTTTCC